TGACTTATATGACTTTGTATGTAACTGATTTATTAGTCTGTTAATTAAGCACTAAGCAATCTTATATGTAGCCTATGTACTGTATATTAAAGCATATGCATGTTCTATATATAACATTTATTGCAACAGTTTGATTTATTGATCTAAATGTAGATATATTTACATATAAATTTAATGTAATATACAAATTTGAGGTCTAATATTATGATAAAATCATAATTAGATTTCACTTGCATTTTATTTTTATTACTGATCTAATGTTCGAAGAATTTATCTTAATGCTTGTGAGTAGCCATTGTGTTTTTTCTTAATATAGAAATGAAGGTCCCAATTCAAATGTCTGGTGAGGTCTGGGACAGACTCCCTCCCATCATTTCAACCCTAACAGAGAAAGAGAGAGAGAGAGAGAGAGGGCTCTGTATGCGTTATGTCCACATTGACGTGTCAAGTGTTAGATTAACTGCCCTCTCAAGCGCCTTTTATTTCCCTGTTCCAGGGCAACACTCATTTACATAAACAGATAATCCCTGATAAAAAATTTCCATTAGACAAAGGTGAAATGGATCGATTTTGGCTGCCAAGATAAATCTTACGTTTTACACCAACAGGGTCATTACCCAGGCCACATTTCAGAAATAATGCATTTAAAAATCAGCCGATAGCAGCCATTTCCAGATTTCCAATTACCTTTAAGAAAAGCTTATTCTGTGGACAATAAAGCACATTACGGCACAATATGATACAGTCCATAAAGATCACACTGTTTGATGAGAGGTGAGAGAAAGCTCAGCATATTTAGGGGAATGTCACAACCCCACATTTCCACAGACGGCTCTCTCTGCAGGTGCCAGGCAAATGTTCTATTACCCCAGTCCAAATAGATTAACAGTCCTGTTAAAAAACAAACAGTATTTTTTCTCCGTTTTTTTCTGCCCACACCCCTCTGTCCTTCTCAGTTGATGAAAGGTGGTAGATTGACAGGGGGTTGCAAGGTGATGCCACCAGCGCCGGAGAGAAAGAGAGAATGAAAATCTCATTAGTCTCTCCTTCCACCCCAATTCCCAGCCCCCCCTAACTGACCTTGAGACACCCCCACCTACCCAGCCATCCCTCCCCTCCCCGGTTGAGGTGAATCCCTCTCATCGCCTTGGGTCTTCTCAGAGCTCGGAGCGCCACTGCCGCTGAGGTCAGACGCTGGCGCTGCTGAATTAGTGCCAATCCTACAAACAAGCCTGGGCGTGGGGTAGTCCTGTGGCGGGAGGAGATTCAGGCCCGTAGAGGGCAGACGGCCCTCCCTCCTCTCCAGCCTACTGTTTCATGCTCTCCCCTGCCTTCATATCAGGGAAAAGCAGCAGGTCCTAGACAATCTATCTCAATCACCACGTGCAAGGATGCATCAAAAACATCAGCGCAATTTGTTCGCTCAAGAGAAGGCTGTAATTTTCATTGGCATCTGTACTAGATGGAGTCATATCGTCCACAATTGAAAAAGAATCTTCATTTATGCCCCTTGATGTGAGAAACCCATTACTGTGGGTTTGCCGTCTAATGAACTAACCCCAAAAATAAAAACAATAATTCAGTCATGGTGTTGGAGGCCAGAATGACAAAATACATTACTGTGATGAGAGTCAAACCTCTCAAATAAGAAATGCATTTCTATTCATAAGTATGAAATGCCAGCAAATTTTTGTTGTTGTTGTTTTTCTTTCAGAATTGACTCATTCATTGCACTGAGCTCGTCTGAGCTGGTTTTTATTCACGCATTTACAAACTAATTAATAGATTTCGTTTCAGATTCCCCATGCTGTTTGATAATGTTTCCACAGGATTTTGACTGTATGAAATACTCTATTAAAAAGTAAAGGAAGTATTTTAGGCCATTTTAAACAGCCTAGACTGTAGAAATGAGTGACCACAGTACCATCTAGTGGATCTTTTTAGACCTACTGCCAAAATCATCACTACACTTCAGGACAGCACAAGAGATTGAGCATTTCTATCGGGACACTTTTTTTTTTTTTTAACTTGCTGTTTTACCTTTCTTTTTTCGCTGAATTGTGGAATAGTGTCAAATTAAAGTGAAAATTGTATGAAATTAATCAAAGTTGTTAAATTTTCTATGTCAAAAATAAATTTTTGCTGTATTATAATTGTTTTGTTATGAATCGGCCTACTACCACTGGTTAAATGCTTAGCAAACAGTTTATGTTCTCCCTGAATTTATTTTAGAAATACAAAATGTATAGAACTCAAACAATTTACTGGACGAATACTGTTAAAAAGTATTTTGTGATAGAAAATAGATGCAGGGTGACATCTACAGGAGGAAAAATTATTTCATTTAGTATTCTCTTTGAATTCTAGTATTTTCAGAACAATACCATTTATTAAATAACATTATAGCCTACATTATAAAAAGATATTTAGCATTTGTCACGCATTTTTTGTATAAAAAAATACCATGGTCCGTGACTATCAAAATACATTTCTAATACTGTAATAATGTAAAACACACACACAACAGAACTTTATAGTGAACAAACTCCCCCTCGACAGCTCTTTGAATCCCTGAATATTCTATTAATTTGACATAATTAAAAAAAAAAAATCAATAGGGCATTGTAAGGGCAATATGTAATAATAATCAGTTTTATAACAAAGTGCTTATTTGCCACTGCAGAGGGGTTAGAAAATAATAAGTACCCAGTGCCAAAAAGCTTAGCATGTCTGCTTGAGTCCCTTAGCCAGGCTTATGATTTTCCCCATAAATGAGGATTTAGAGTATGTCATGCTGACAGCAAAAGTGACACACAGCAAACAGTCATTAATATCACAAGATATTAATCTCGTTCCAGCAAATGCTAAATGCAGAAGAACAATTGTATTGTCTGACCTAATCTCTTGCTTATTGTGGAAATTGTTTTCCCTTTCTTTTGGCCTCTGGGGAATTATAGTCTTGGGGCCAGATGTATTGAAGAGATAATTGTAAGTGAAAAAAAGAGGATGCCTTTATATTAAAGTTCAATTCCTCCCAATATTGTTATGCAGATGGAACTTTCACTAAGCTGAAATCTCCAATCATTGCCTCATTTGAACTTCTTTGAAGCAGAAAAAAAATGGTGAACACAATAGTACATAAGAAATGTATTTCAGGTGGTAGCAACTGGTTTTAATAAAGTAAAAAAATATTTAATATGACTAAGTATACTGAGTTATGTACATTTTTCTGACATAAGGGCCTATTTTTGAAATTATGACAATAACCCTCTCTCACCACACGCACACAAACATACAAAGTTAATATTTGTAATCTGAGGATGTTCTGAGGTAAAAACATATATTTAGTCTACTTATTCTTTAGAGGAAAAGCGGTGGCATTTGAAGCTGCACGTGGTCTTCTTTTTGCATAAAAAACACAAAACTGCCTGTGCCATTTTGCGTCAAGGGCCGGTGCAGTGGCCTGCTTGACTTCCCACTCTTCAGGAACTGCCGGCAAACTAGGCCTTGTCAGATGGCTACAGAGCTTTCTCAAAGTGTCAGCTCCCCAAAATAGTCTTGTGACCAGACTACAGACACCAAACAAACAAAGGCACTCTGATCGTGTAAGTATCAGTCTGAGTGCTGGTGAAGCCTCCCTCCGTCCCCCGTATCGTGTTAATCAGTCTCCAGGGAGCGGGATCGGACACGACACACATCCTATTGGAGCAAAGTGTGGTGTCTCCCGCCTGCGAGCTGGACTTCGGTGCAGGTTGTGGTGGAAACGTTGATGTGCACCCTCTGTGTGGACAGCAAGGACAGAGTCACGGCGGCAGCAGATGTCATGTGGCGGAGATTATAAATAAAAGCGACCAGAGCAGGGGAGCACTGACGGGCCTTAGCGAGGCCGCTGTCAGGGTGGCAATGTTTTTTACTCGCTGGATAGTTTTTCAGCAAGACACGTGGCCAACCTCTTCTAACAATGACTGTGTCCTTGTTATTGGATTTGATGCCTGCTCTTGGTTGGGGGCCATATCATGGGCACTAGTAGAGAACAGCGTGTGGCGGTTGGCTTGCTGCAAGAAACATAGGTTGAGAGGATGAATTGAAATGAAAAAACAAATGAGTGTAAAGAGGTCAGAGAAGATCCAGCTCTGTGTGAAGTTTCGGTGTCTTCTCAATGACAGGTAAATTCAGTTATAAATCTGGACAGTAATGTCAAGACAGATACTTTATGCAAATCAAATTTGAAACATTTCTGAACGTCTTCTCCATTTACCCTAAACAAGTTCAAATAAAAAGACATATCAGATGGACTGAGGAATAAGCAAAAAAAATATTTATCACGGACGTTATCATTTAGTACAAATATTTTAGCCTACATAAAAGACACCTGAACCAGAAATGTGATGGCACTCTTTCCTGTCTTGCTGGGTTTGCTGCAGTCAGGCAAATTGCCTTGGCAATGCTGTTGACAGCCTTTTGAAGAGTGGAGTGATGAAAGGTGAATTAGGAGTGCTAATGAAGAACACACTCCCACTTGAGAAGGTAATTATCTTGGGTGTAATAGATGAGGGAAGATTAGGTGTGATTCTAGCCCCAGAGGAGTAGGCTATCACACAAGATTACACCTGAGATGTTTATGAAAAGAAAAAAGTCTTCAAAACGTGTTGACAGCAGTCTGCCACCTACAGGTCTCCATTCAGTCGATGTAGCCTAATGAATGCTATGAAAAATGGGTGCTATTGGCTGGTAACGTATTTCCAGTAGATAAACACTTCGTGTGATTAAACATTCAGAAGGGAGAAATCATTTCGGAGGGGGGAAAAAAGTGACAAATCCCTTTTTAGTTTTTGCTTAAAAATCAAACATGAAACATTAAAAATATTTAACAAAATTAAAATGTGATACAATATATATATATATATATATATATATATATATATATATATATATTAAGAGGATTGATAAAGTAATCGCCGGATAGAAGACATAGGGATTATGCCTCGGGTTACATGTGACGATAATCTCTCTATTAGCCTGTTAGCAGCTAGCAACACAGCACAACTTTCTCCTGCCCTCACCGGGCTATTATGAGTCTGAACATGGGATACTAATATCATTTATGAGCCTCACAGACACGAACGCGGATTCTTCGATGCAGACATTTATCTGACCAATGGTAAATTTAAATTCAGGATTAAGCGAACACTAATCCGATGTGATTAGATAGATGTGATTAGCATTTAACGTTAGCTGTTTATCCATTGTAGATACAGCACAGTGATAGCGAATTTAGCGATAAAGGTAAATATTTGACTAGTTAGGGTATTGCATTTATTGAAATAAATAATTTCATATTTCAGTAGGTTTATATGTTGTGTATATCTGTATGTATTTTGCCATAAGCTTTACAACTTGTTGGACAGTGACAGGGACGTCTGTTACTTCAGCCCACCCTAAAGATTCGTTTCATGTTATTAACAGGCTTCGATTTAAATAAGGTGTGAAATTTGTATTATGTACAGCCCAAGTGCTTTGTTTTTCATAACAATCTAACAGTTCAGCAATGAACGCAAGCAGTACTCATTGATTCTTGAGACCGGACAAAACATACCCCACATTTACTTCCCAGTAGTGTTTTTTTAAATGAAACAGAAATATATAGTGTATATATATATATATAAACGTTCTTAACATGTTCCATTTACTTTTTACTTTATTATTTTCACATGATATTCAGCATCGTTTTTGTATTATTTATATATGATTATAGTAATTATTAAAGTTTTGACTAAGGTTCTAATTTTTAATTTTAGTTCAGTAATTTTGTCATATACTTGTCATTTTCATTATTTTTATATATTTGTTTTGGTTTTTGAAACCAATTTTATATCAGTTTTTCATCTAATATTTCTATTTTTAATACTTTTAGTTAACAATAACAACACTGATATAATGACATATTAAACACACACACACCTGCCCTCAGATTATAGCTCAATACTTCACAATAAAAGTTTTATGGAGGAGGAGGTCAGTTAAAACTGCACTCTTTTATAAAATTTCACGTCCATGTCACTTTTTGTCAGATATTTATAAAAACCATTTATCCATTAAACTGTGTGTGTCTGTAGGACTCTGAGTGTGAGACTGGGTGACATTATCATCATGCCATCAGCGAAGGTGCTGAAGAGTGCCCAGTACATTGAATTGGGCAGTTACAAGTATTGGCCAGTTCTGGTGCCCAGAGGAATCCGCCTGTACACTTACGAGCAGGTGCCGGGATTCCTACGGGAAAATCCTTATATCACTGATGGCTACAGAGCCTATTTGACCTCTAGACTGTGCATTAAAAGGTAAGTGCAGGTTCAATGCAGAGTGTATTTTTTTTCCCAATAGCAAACATCAGAATGAACAAATATTTTAGGATATTAATTACTGTAGGTATAGTAATATAGGTGCATTGCTCAGCCAGTTGAGGGAATAACAAGATATTAGCTGGTATAATCTCACGTGTTTTGTAGCCTTTTTATTCTGTCCAATGAGACGGTAAACATCTGGAGTCATCTGTTGGGGTTCTTCTTGTTCTTCACACTGGGAGTTTATGACTTGTTGGCGGTGCTGCCTATGTTAGGAGCGTCCAGAGAGGACTATGTCATCTACTCCATAGGCCTCTTCTGCTTTCAGGTATGTCCGTGCTGCTTGCATCATGCCCTCACATTATTTGGCTTTGCGTTTAGGTAGACAATTGGAAACGAGGAAAAACTTAAGCAGTTCAGAAGTGTGTTTAATAGCCGCTGTAAGTAGTTAACACAGTAGCTAGTGGATATAAAGTGTTTGTTTTTGTTTTTTGGCATGACAACAAATAATCTTTAACCATGGTTGCTTGTTTGGATCAGCTCCATCTTTTTTAATAAAAAACTGATCTTAGATCAGCAAAAAGTATTCATATAATCCTTGGACTGTTGAAGGCCTTTGATATCAGGCTTTCCACATTCACAGTTGCCAGGGATTAGAGTTGAAATTTATGATTTTATCACCTAAACCCAGTCCTGTCTAATTCTAGATCTGTTATCGGTTGCTCTCGTGCCATCGGTTATAGACAGAAATGGCAGCTTCTCTCCTTGGCAGCCATTCTCTCAAACATCAGGATTAGGCAAAGTGCCTCTACCACCACCCTTTCATATTCTCTCATACAGACATAATTATAGCATCTTTGTTTGGCTTCATAGGTTCATCATATAAGGTTTAGCTTTTTTTTTATTGTATTGTGAAAACTTTGCATATGTGAATCAGCATATATGGCCTACACACACCTATCTGTATCTCAACACTTTGCGTTGTCTTTTCAGGTGTGCATGCTGTGTTCTGTTGGCTATCACCTGTTCTGCTGCCACCGTTCTGAAAAAAACAGCCGCCGCTGGATGGCACTGGATTATGGCGGGATCTCCATCGGAATCATAGGCTGTTATGTTCCAGGAGTGTTCTACGCGTTCTACTGTAATAACGTATGTGCATCTGCTTTCTTAGAGAGGGTGCTGCTACAGTCAAAAAAAAAAAAGGAATTAAAAAAAATTATGGAATCTTATTTCCACCATGAAATAAAGTTTTTTGTGGCTTTTAATCTAGCAAATCTAAAAAATTTTCTCAAAACTGTTTTTACAATTGAAACTTTCCTTCTCAGGATTGCATTTTATATTTCACAATTAATCCTTCGCCGGGAGTTTGATTGACAAGCGATCTGACCAATCATAACGCCGAATCTGCCATTTTGTCCGACAGACAAACCAGACAGGAGAGTAGATTAACGTCGGTAGACTTGAACTTGAAAAATGGTGTGCATTGACGTCTTTCCGTTGTTGAAACAAGATACCTTCTGATGTTTATTTCATGCTATAACCTGTAAAGAGGAAAAGATGATCGGAAAACACGCCGCTTGAACGGAGACGCTACAGCGATCTATCACAACACATTAAAGAGCCACAAAATGGTATTTATTGTTAGAATTTTTTTTTTTTTTTAAATAACAAAATTTGAAAGCTGACACAATTTCATACCAAAAGTAACCTGCTCTGTCTTGTCTGTTGGCGCGTTGTCAGTTTCCTCTTTGCTCCGCAGTATAATTTTCACTGCGTGAGAACATGTTGCGTGAGAGCACCATGGCTTGTCGGACGTAGCAACAGTAACTAAGGTGGATGGGTCTTTGCGAAGGTCAATTGCAAGTTATAAATTCTTAATTGTGAGTTTATGTCTCACAGTTTTGACTTTTTATATCACAATCTCAGGATTGCAAGAAAAGAAGTCAGAATTGTTAGATTAAAAAGTCTCAATTACCTTTTTAATGTTTAGGATGGGTCTTTGCGAAGGTCAATTGCAAGTTATAAATTCTTAATTGTGAGTTTACGTCTCACAGTTTTGACTTTTTATATCACAATCTCAGGATTGCAAGAAAAGAAGTCAGAATTGTTAGATTAAAAAGTCTCAATTACCTTTTTAATGTGTTTATTCAGTGGTGAATATAAGCTTTCATGCTTTTGTGTGATGTTTGAGTTGATCAAACATTTGATCAAGTCGTCAAGTCAAGACAAATTTCCATTTAGGAAATGTACTAAACTACCAAAGTATATTGGAACTAAACCATTCTGGCATAGGGGAGGTGGAGATGTGGGCAGTACTGGAGGTAAACGTCACAACTTCATCAGTGAAGTAATAAATGTTTATTAGTTTGATCCACTGCGTGCGATAGGCGGCTATGGCCAATGTGGACAGGGGTAGATTAATTAGGTGGCTTGAGGTGTATCGTCCCACAGTGGTCTCTAGCAGCAGATGGTTGGCCTGCTTTTGTTGTGGGCATATGTTACCTGTGCAACAGATACAGAGCAAGAGTTCACCTATTCCTGGGGAAAACAGTCTGGTGTGTGTGTGTGTGTGTGTGTGTGCTGTGAATACCACACGGAGAGGCTGTTTTTATGTGTTTAGTAAATCACCATTTCACTATATTTTCTATTTCGGTTGTAGTGCACTATCATTTTTTCATCAGCCGTAAAGGACAATTATGACAATTTACTCACCCTCATGTCATTCTAAACATGTATGAATTTCTCTTTTCTGAACATTTTTCTTGGAAAAAAAGGATATTTTAAAAACCAATTTTGGACCACATTGATTTTCACTGTATGGACAAAAACATTTTTCAAAATATCTACTTTTGTGTTCCACAGATGAAAGTTTGAAAGGACGTGGGTGAGTAAATGATGAAAGATTTTTCATTTTTGGGTGAACTATCCCTTTAAAAGCGAGGAATAGTATGAACATTTAATAGGAAAGTTAGAAGTGCACACTGAGAGCTGTCGCATCTTGACATTTCCCGTGAGATTACTGTAACACTGTGCTAGAGTATCTTTGATTATGTTGTACGATAGTTTATTCCTCCTTTGCTGTTAGTTTGCACAATGGATCCCCTGTGGAGCGGCTTTGTACTGCCGGTATAAAAACGACGAGGTGCCGCTTGGCGTGGAATCTTCTTTGTTCAAGAAGCTGGTGCATTTTTCTGAAAGCTTGGATCTTGGATATCCTGAGCAAGCTGCTTGCTCTCGTCCCCTCTACTCCCACTTGCTGTTTGCCGAGCACCAGCGCTTTTGGCCATGCTGCTCCACATGGTTCGCCCCACATATTGGAAGTTCTGGCTTATTGTGCCCCAGAATGCGGCAGAAATCTGCTCCAGCCCAAAGCAGATGGCGGTGTTCGTGGACCCACTCCGTCACTCCTGTTCCCCACCATATGACATTCACACGTGGGTGAGCCATCTCCACTCTCCCCCTGCCAAGTGTTTAGCTTTGCTTTTTGGATGACTACTCAATCAGCCAAGTGCCCCAAGAGAAAGAGGGACCGCTCTCTCCATTGCTTTTTCTTGCACCAGTTTTTTTTCCTCCTCCAGAACAAGTGCTTTTTTGTGTCTATGTTGTGCACATTAAGAGGACTTCCATGTGTTTGTGGTTCATGTAGTTTCATCTGGTTTGTGTAACTGTCTGCAGTACTGGCGGCAGGTGTACCTGGTAACCGTTCTGGCCATGATGTTGGCAGTGTTCTTTGCCCAGATCCACCCTCATTACTTGACCAAGAAGTGGCAGAAGCTTCGCTCTGTTATATTCTGTGCTGTGGCGGGATATGGCCTAATCCCCACCTTTCATTGGATCTGGCTCAGTGGGGGTTTCAGCTCAGACATAGTCCAGGTAAAAGGCATCCTCAAAATTGTTTAATAGATATTCTTAAGAAACATCAACCATATTAATAATGAGTATTGCCAGACACCTCCGCACACACACACATACACACACACACACACACACACACACACATATATATATATATATATATAATTTTTTTTTTTTTTTTTTTATAAATAACAGCTACTAATATATAATAATATAAGCAGTATAAGTATAATAATTATTACTACTATTATTATAAAATATATATTTACCAGACTTTTACCATTTATATGTATATAAATATATATTACATTTTACACACACACACACATATAATTAGAAGTTACAACATTATTATTATTATTACTGTTTTTTTTTATGTATATTTACCAGACATTTTTAACCATTTTTCCACAACTACTATGCATATATACTGTATATTGAGTGACTTATTTATTGATTGTTTCATGTTGGTATTGTTGTTGTTGTTGTTTTTTTTGGTAGGAATTTGTTCCCAGAGTGCTGATAATGTATGTACTTGCTGTAGCTGCTATCATCTTCTACATGTCCAAAGTTCCAGAGCGTTATTTCCCAGGTACTGGGAAATATAATATTTCTTACTCTTTCATCTTTATTTCTCAATTGGAGAGCTCAGTGTGGCATCCTGAGATGAAAGCAGGGTTGCATGTCACTTTTGTCAAATTTGAAACCGTGTCCAAAGAGAGAAGTTTTTTAGAGTGATGGACTAAACCAAGGGCCACACACACACCTGCCTTAATTAAATTGACTCACATTGCTGTGTGAGAGGACCAACCTCAGACAAGTTAATTAATGCTTTAATGCTCTTTTTGTCATCTCTAGGTCAGCTGAACTACTTGGGCTCCAGCCATCAGGTCTGGCACATATTGGTGGTGCTCATGTTCTACTGGTGGCATCAGTCTGCACTTTTCATAACCAATTATCGTCACTCTCACCCTTGCCCGGACCACCCTCTTCATTCCTAGAGTTATGGGATCGAGGGACACCACTGAGGACTTGGATAGCTTTTTTAATTCTTTAAGCTTAAACACATTGGATTTTTCTTGTCTATTTTGAAACTTTTATACATTTTGTAAACTGATGTTTCAGTTTAAATATAATTTAAAGGCACTTGATGAGGTAAGCAGTTAGGCTTTTAAAAGCACTTTTAAAAATCAAGGTGAGCACCATTTCACTGGGTCTGTGTGCATTTCTACATTTATAGAAATCTACTTGTTGGGTAACATGCAGGTTATGTGGGCAATAAATCTGTTACATACTAAGTTAAAAATTCAGTATTATATTATTATCTGTCTGTTCAATACTATTTTGGTGTTTTCTTTTTGTATTTGCACCTAAAATTCAATGATTCATAAGCTTACATTTCGATTTGTTGGGTTTGTGCGAACATTTTTTTTTTTTTTTTTTTTTCAAACGTACATTATATAATAGTTTAAATGAGACTTAAATTATATAATCTCATTTATAACATTGAATAAACCAAAGAGATTTGATGGGCTTGTTCAGTGAATTGTTCAGAGATTGGTGAAATAAACAAATGTCTTATAAGTGGAAAATATATTTTGTGGGTTGCTGCACAGCATTGCCATGTTGCAAATACACACATCAGTATTTTTTCTTTTGATAGATTTCTTTTGTTTACCATTTGTTTTTGCTTTGTTACTAACAATGGCAATTTAAAATTCCTTCCATGCAACTAATGCAATGAACACACCAGTCTGTATATTGCATTTCATCAGGTTGTAGTCTTAGTTGAGTTATCAAGTCAAAGTTAGGACTGTAATGTGAACTAGAGCTACATGTTTTCAGTTCATTTTCTGCCTTACAACAGTGAACTGTACAGCTGTACAACTGCATTTTTTTAAAACCGCACAATGTGTATTTTTAGTGCTTAATGGTATGATGTGCTGTTATTTTTGTGAGCTGTTACTGAATCATGATGCTGCATTAAGTAACACTATTGAAATTTTTTACCACATGTTGGTAATATGTTGGGATCTGTTCTTCAGTACAGATGAATAAACATTCACTTTGTCCTTTTCAACTGAAGTTTTAATGACAGTTCTTTTAATGACAATATCTGACAAAACGAGGACTAATGATCACCAAAAAAAACATTTTATTGCATTGTTAGAGCGTAGTATTACATAAGAAAAAAGGAACAAATCTTGCAACGTTTGAAACAAAAAGCAGCATTTTTTTGGTCTTGAATGTTCAAAGTGCAGATATTCAGTGAGTGTAAATGCATCTTCTAAATGGCCCTTTCATCAGTTAAATTGTGATACCCTTCATGACTAAAATTTAAATGTTTGCTTCAAACAAGTGACTGATATATAAATACGCAAAATTGTATTGAGCACATTTGTTAATTATTTTCCCTTTCTACAAGAGCTAATTGTTCATGATTGTAGGTTACTGGTAAATACATACAGACGTAGTGGAACACCTAATCATTGATAACATCAAAGATGTTTAGTTCAGGTTGGGGAATTATTTCTGTGTGTCATAATATTGTCTAATAAACTGCAAGTTTAACTTCTCTTGTGTGGTCGGTTTACTAAAGGGAACATTAAATCAAGTCCCTTTTCATGTATGTAGACATTGAAACATAAGGCTTTAAAACATTGAATGCATTTAAAAATGTAAAAATATGCATAAAATTGTCTATGCGAATGACATTAAAATGGAGAAGGCCTACACTCCATTCCATTGACACAAACGGGCTACAAACAGCTATTGTGCATTTGAGGTACTGTTAAGCAGGGTGGGGAATACCCAGATAAGGCTTTTTGGTGTTTCATGTTGGTAGATAGGAGTTGTACCAACTCAGTGGTCAACAATGGAGTACAAACTACAAAATGCCGTACTATATTGGTATTTTCCTCTTAATCCTATTAAAATGAAGGATTACACACACATCTCCAATGTGCTTTTTTAACTTTATTTTTTTTTTACTGAGCAGAGCGCTTATTGTATTGAAGCATAGAAGGCTTTCTAGCACGTAAAGGCTAAGGAATATGCTTCAAAATCTGAAAGCATCCACCAACCACAGGCTTAAGTCACCAAAAGGAAAAGAGGATTTAGCTGTCCAGTTAGGTATTAAAATACTTGAAAAACTACAAAAGTTGAATGTTATCTAGTTTAAAGGCCTATGTCCCAATGGGCTGCACATACACAGAGATCACAGAACAAAGCTGCCGTCTGTTAAAAGACATTTAAAAAGGCTGCTTGGGCTTTGCATAATGTAGTGATGTATGTGTGTGTGTGTGTGTGTGTCTATCATCTCTGCATGTGAGCCGGAAGACAAGATATTCACTGCTTTGAGGGGAAAGGTGCAGCTCCGAAAGGGTCGAGATCCTTTTGTGGGGTTTGCGGAGCTCCGCTTTCGACCACAAAAGGCTGCTTGGGCTTTGCATAATGTAGTGATGTATGTGTGTGTGTGTGTGTCTATCATCTCTGCATGTGAGCCGGAAGACAAGATATTCACTGCTTTGAGGGGAAAGGTGCAGCTCCGAAAGGGTCGAGATCCTTTTGTGGGGTTTGCGGAGCTCCGCTTTCGACCACTAGTTCTGTGAAAGGTACAGCTCCAAAGTCATCTATCTTATTTTCCTCAAACACGCCATGTAGGGAACTGGTTCTCGGCCTACCGTTGGTCGAATTGATCTCACTTTTGTTGTCTCCCAAGCTCTGGTGCTGGCCATGTCGACTGCCATCTTGTGGATGAAAAGGCTTGGCTCCAAACGGATCCAACAAGACCTCCTCCGAAGGCAACGCAGCTTCTTTTTCCATCACCTCGCCCAGGGAAATACTGATGTTCTCTTTGGAGTCAGACGTGCTGAGGAACTCATTGCTGCTCTGCGAGTCCCGTCTGCCCACTTTCTTGTGCCTTCGCACCCGTTCGGGGGTACGGAAACTGGGTTTGTTGCTCTTCCTGCCACCAGTGGGCGTGCCGTGGTGTCGCTTCCCATTCCCGCCACTGGCCTTTTGCTTGGTGCGCCTTTGCCGCGAGGAGAGTTTCTGAAGACTGCACTGCTTCTGCCTCTGTTGCTGGGGACTGTCTGCTTCGTCGAAAGGTGCTTGGCCAAAGATGTCCTCCTGATTCCGAGAATCCCTGTTCATTACGTGGCTAGGTTGGAAAGGCGAGAATCCGAATACATCCACGCTGTCAGGAGAAACGGGTGGCGTCTGGCCACTGGGTCCATCGCCACTCCTGCTGGACCTGGAGAGGTTTCTGTTGAAAGGAGCTTTGATGAATATGTCAGTCTCTTCCGCAGCGTTCTCCTGGCTAGCCTGCCTAAAAGGGGCTTGGGCAAAAATATCTGAGCTCTCTGGTGACACTCTGGCCTTACCACTGCCAACGAAAGGAACAGCACCAAACACATCCACAATGCTCGCGACAGGCATGGCTACACTTGGCGAATTGGGAGGAGTGATCACACTGGGTCCAGATTCAGCGTTCACTGTTCTAGGAGGAAAAAGTGCAGCCTTTTCCTTCGACAACCCAAGTTTTGCTTTCCTAGAGTCACAATCTGAGTCTGAGCTGTGTTTGTCCTCCTCTTCCTCAGAGTCCATGAGTAACGGCCTCTGACCCAGGTTCTCAGGTTCGGTGTCTTCACGTTCGCTGTTGAGACCTTCCTCCTCTTCGGCCTCTTCGTCTTCACTGCTTTTGGGAGAGGGTGGGTCCGACTCAAAATCACTGTCTGATTCCTCGCCTGCTTTCTGAGGCAGTGAACTAGTGGAGCTACTTTTCTTTGCAGGTTTGTGTTCTTTGACTGATTGCAGGGTTGTGTCTTGCGTGCTTGGAACAGTCACAGCAACACTGAGCTGCTCAACTGGATGCTCTGCTGTCAGCACACCAGCTCCTGCTAAATGAACACAGAAAGTTGTTGATGAATGTCTGATATACACAGCATGGGACGAGTGCCTTTCCCATAGAAACCGCACATACTTAAAATTATTCCACCCTTTTAGCAATAACAGCCACAACTCAGAGCTTTAAAAAGAAATCTAGGAATAGACGTACAAACCTACTACAGAAGGTTTAGTCCAAAAACAGACTCCAGAACTAATCAAAACATCCACAAATTATTTTTTTATAACATATGTGGTATATTAGAAAACTTGACATCCTTACCATTACAATCTTACAATATATTAAAAACATGAAAAAAATTGAAGAAAAAAAATTCTAAACTACAATAACCTCATCCAAAAAACTAAGAGGCATCATTATATAATAGTTAAAGCTATAATTATGGTTTTATTTTGGTTTTGTTTGTGTAATGATGCTTCTTAACCTTTGTAAATTAAGTAATTTTATTTTACAATTACACATTTTTAAGACAAAGCAAATTTCTATTAATTTGAGTATTGGCAGACATAGCAGAGATGAACAACTGTATTATATTTGATCAAAAATCTGTACTTTTCCTGAAAAGTCTCACCTGACTGAGTGCTTGAAAGAAACATTTTTAACCTCAGGCAAGATTTTGGAAATTGTAAAAAATTTATTTTCATTGTCAAAAAAAACTTGTGAGATACACTATTTATTATTTGCTTCTCCTGTAATTTAAACTAGTATATCTTGCTACAGCCTATCACAATATTTGTCAACATGTATAATTATTGAGGTATTTGTCTAATTTCAAAAGACTGAAATTCTCAACATGGCTAGGCATTGCCATCCTCCCCCTGCTGAGCTGCGGATCTGTTATCGACAGATCCATCCAAACTGGCAGAGCGAGACACACGATTAGCCAAACCCGGTTCTATGAATATGAAGAAGTTCAAAAATATATAAATAAAAAAAGTTAAATAACAACTACTTCTACTACAATGATTATAGTCATAAGACAGGCAAGAACAGCACAGGAGGAAAAAAACTGGTGCTTTTTTCAAAGAAATATGAAGCTTAGTGGAAACAATATACGAGCAGACTGTTTAGACTGTCTGGATTACAACACATCTAATCACGCCTACCTCCTGGAATACAACAATCCACAGCGCAGCATAATGGAACATCCTTAATCATATAAGAAGATCGCAACCAGAAGACAACATTTATTGAGTGTTCTTTTCCAGGCCCATCCGATTACACGCTGATCACGGCTTTAGTAAAAACAGCCATAGCATGTGGATGTCCAGACCTCTTCCTGATTTGCTTGAATAGGGAACATAATGGAAAAGTCATATTGCTCTGAAAGCTACACATCCTTCCAGTGGTTTACCCAGACCTCCCTTCCCCAGCTCAGCAGATGCTAAACTGATTGTCTTTTCGGTCATCACAATATATGCAAGTGATTTACGATCACAGCCGGGATATGCTTCAATAGCTTATTGTCTCTTACCTCATTACGTCCAAGTGCCTCTGTTCTACATGCAACTTTACCAGGTAAACAGAATATTTGAATGGAGTTCATAATGAGAGATTATGCTTATTCTATAGTTTAGGAGCCATTTTATTATGCTTCCCCCTCCAAAGACCAGTTACCTACTTTATCAAGGTTTAACAAAATGATTAAGCAAACAACCAACAGGACAGCCACAAAGCATAATTGGTCCTCGTACATAATCATATACTTAGCATCAGTGTTGGGCAGTAACGCGTAATTTGATTCCTTTTTTAGTAACTGAGTAATTTAACGCGTTATAATTTTCAAAATAGTAATTGGAGTACAGTTACAAGCCGAGGTCTCTATACGTTACTGCCGCATTACATTGCTGACAGAGTACAGTGTTTTATAATCTAGAGATTGTAAAAAAGATGTAGCACACGCACTGTCGAGTCAAGTGCCAATGGATTAGAGACCTGCTCCCGCGAAAACCCACGCAACAGAGCGCGGCGCGGGACAAGATGGGCGAGTGCTGGTGCGAGCGGGTATACATATACACTGAACAAAATTATAAACGCAACGCTTTTGCCCCCATTTTTCATGAGCTGAACTCAAAGATCTAAGACTTTTTCTATGTACACAAAAGGCCTATTTCTCTCAAATATTGTTCACAAATCTGTCTAAATCTGTGTTAGTGAGCACTTCTCCTTTGCCGAGATAATCCATCCACCTCACAGGTGTGGCATAAGTGCTCACTAACACAGATTTAGACAGATTTGTGAACAATATTTGAGAGAAATAGGCCTTTTGTGTACATAGAAAAAGTCTTAGATCTTTGAGTTCAGCTCATGAAAAATGGGGGCAAAAACAAAAGTGTTGCGTTTATAATTTTGTTCAGTGTATATATTATTATATATTTTATTCTCCCGCAATGATTCACGGGACTCCCGCAAAATAGAAAATAAATTGTTATTCATCTATTGCACAAAAGCAACATGAACCAATATAAAATATAAACGATTATGCATATGCAGAGTTTCTATTTAGGCTATAACACGTGTTTGCAGCATTGTGCAATGCAGTGCTGAAATCTGCGTGCTCACGAATCCTCTCATTATAACACACGAATTGTAGATATTATGAAAAATTCATTATGCATATATTTATTGTGTTATAACAGAGATTTGTGAGATTGCGATGAACTGAGATGTTTTTGAGATTATAAATGCAGCGCTCTTTGCTGGCATTCTGCCATGCCAAACCAAGCACGCAGCAGCTGCTTGCTTTAGTTAAAAATAAATGTTCTGTGAATGCTGATGCTTTAATGACAAATATTTATCAGGAGCATGTATGCTGGGATTTCATAAATTTCATGGAGAAAAAAGTAACGTAACTAGTAATGTAACTAATTACTTTTGAAATAAAGTAATCAGAACAGTAACGTGATTACTTTTAAAAGGAGTAATCAGTAATTTGATTACTCTGAGTAATTTTCAGAGTAACTTGCCCAACACTGCTTAGCATATACTAGATTTGAGGATGTTTAAAGAGTCACATTCAAATCAAAAGAGGTACTCCAATAGTAACCCATTCAAACATTGTCAGATCTAAAAAAAGTACATGCAAAAGATTAATTATGTAAAGTAAAAACCTTATGCTACTTTCCAAGAGATTTTACATTACATTACATAAATGCTAACATTAAATCTACATTTAATGTAAATTATAAGTTGAAATAAAACCTCAGGCTGACTGGATGTTTACACTAATATTCAAAAAAAAAAAAAGTTCAGTGACAAAGGTGGCATGTTTAAGCCACTTCATTTAACAGATGTGAGGAGCAACACATATACATATATATATAATTTTTTTTATGAACATGGTGTTAACATTATGCTTTTCCAAAATCAAAAATTAAATAGATCAATGTTATACATGTTTAGAATAAACTGTTAGACAAAGACAGCCATCCTATTATTTGAAAGGAGGATCATCTTGCTCTTGTGGCATAAAGGTGGAAGACATCAGAACTTCTTTTTCTCAAAGCATTAGTCAAATGTGAGCTTCTATAACAAAAATCAACAAATATAACACCGCTTTAAAATAAGCTTTATTTATAATTAGCATTGTATAAAGAAACATTCAGTTATACATTATGATACATGAGTATTTACATCAGTTTGTCAATTGGAGACTGAACATTAACAGCTTATGCAACTGATGCTGTATGTATGCATGTACAGATGAGAAGTCACTGAGGAATGGAGGAGCTATGAACTTCTGTCATCTATAGGAACATATGCAACATAACAAACAGTGTGTTACATAGCTAAGACTCCTGTACCATGATCTCTGTGGCAACAGAATGCTTGAAATTAAAGCTGTTATAGGAGAAACTGTTACCTGTGCAATTTTAGTATTAGCGTCAACAAAACTAAGAAAAAACAAAGAAAGACTAAAAACAAAAGGAACCTATAACTCCAATTTATACGCAAGTAGATTTAGTCATTCTCAACTGTTCTGCTTACACTTGCACAATAGTTCACAATATGGCTCAAAAGACTTTTAATACAAGTTGTGAGTTCACAAGTCTGTCAGTTTTAACTGTCCACCAATATCCCACTCAGTCAAGATATCTCTGAAACTGGCTGTCTTTATCTAATAAAGAATGGTAACAAAAACATTAAACTTTAAAAAGAAAACACATAAAATGTTATCAGACATGTTCTGAAAAAGCAAAGTAACTTGAGTGGGTGATGAGATGAATGCGTAAATAAAATTAGGAATCCAGAACATGGATTCGCTAAACATTACGGTCAACTTACTTTTGGGAAAATAAAAGTTCAGTAAACATTATGGCAAGCCCTTATGTAAACTATCACTAAATGCACTGAGCAAGTACCTCTAAATACATGCACTGACAATGAATCCATGTGACATTTTCCATTAATTAAGGCTCAATGCTGCCATTATGAGTGAGACAGCAACAAATTATGTGATCTGTCTGTGGTGTGATAACCAGTGTTAACATGTAAAAAGGCTCATACATTCTTAGACATAGCGTTTTTTTTTTATGGAAAGCATCATGTGTGACCAGAAAAGTGTTACGGCATAGGCTACATAATAATAAAACAAATTATGCAAAAGAAAGAAAAAAAAGGGCTGCCAACTCTTAGTTGCTTCTGTAGATGCAACAGTTTCTGATTATTCGGCTAACCTCACTCCAAGTTAACCTGCCAATGTTCCCTAAATTGGCAACTTAAAGTATCTTCACAGTAAATTACAGAAAGGAAAAACAAGTCTCAATGAGGAATTTTAAGCCAACTAACACTGGAGGAGAGAGACTTGTGTTCAACTACATGAAATATTGGCATGTTTACAAGTAAATAAAGTGAATATGAGGATCGCTGGAAATTTTCTATGGTTTGAGGTCTATAGAAATTGTACCTGAGAACTTCTGGCACTCACTTGTTTCTGTCAAACAATTTGCTATCAAGCACAAAATGTAGCTAATAACTGATCTGAAGAAAAGAAAACAAATCTAGTAAGTGGAAAATTAGGTTGCTCAAGAATCTGAAAATCTATTCTATCATGCCAACCTGATGCCTTTGACAAAAAATGTAAATGCCAAAATAATAGAAAAAAAGAAAGAAAATTCCCTTAAACTTGTACATTTTCTTTTCCTAACTAAAGGGAAAACACCTTTTCTGTTCTGCTTAGAATAAACATGTTAAAATAAAAATGTTAGCCCTGAGAAAAAAAATCTAAACTGACAAATCGAGTACAATGCACTTATACATAACGCAGTGAAACTGCACCACTATATGAGTTACTTCAAACTATTTGATTAAAACTAAACCTATTAAAATGTTTAAAAATGCAGATGTGAAAAGAGCAAAGCATAATTTACAACAATAATATAGCAAGTGCAAAGACAAACAAAAGTTGAAGCAAAAAATAATAACAGTAGGAAAAAAAAAAATCAAGGCACCAGCAACAAGCATGGAGGTGATATAAAGCTGTGGTTTTACAAGTATAAATCCCTAGAATAAAAAAAACAAAACACTAAAAACAACATATGCAAGTGTATATTTCTTATCGCTTATAGTTCCAAATGATACATACACATTCATTTATAATCTGCAAATTCTCCCTATTTTTATGCTTGCATATTACTATTTCCTATTTCCAGCCTGTTTGGGGGGGTTTATATATATAATATCTAAATACCAGATATATAGTGTTTTATCACATTTTTATCTTGTCTACACCTAATGATCAGTGAGAAATAAAAACAAAAGTTTTTCTAAGACATACAGAGTTTGTTTAAATAATGACAAGATTGTAACTGTCTAAAAAATGTATGCATTTAAAGTGGTTAAAGGAATAAATGGTAACATTGATTTTGTTTGTCTCCCGTCTCCAGATGTGACTAATATGTGGTGTAGAGGGGCCACATCCAGCAAGCAGAGAGACAGAAAGAGGTTGGGAAGAGCAGGAATAGGGGAGCACAGATATGAGGAGAGAGGAGGACGGTAAACAGGGAACTTTGGTGAGGGTCCTTTGAGAGCCGGCTGCTAGAACTTGCCTGCGTTGGCCAGGAACGGCACAGAGCCAAATGGATCCTCAGGGAGTGAGGGCTGCAGTACCGGCTGCTGTCTGTCTATGCTGCTGGCCTCCATGCTGCGAGATCGCTCTACCGGCTTTTCTGTGGGGAACAAGGGTGACAGACACATAGAAAATGTTAGTGTAGGAATAAATCAGGATGTGAATGCCCTCTGCTGGAGAGGGTGTAGAATAGAATACTAGAAGATGATGTAATTCTAAAACAGACTCAGAACACACAGACACAAAAACAAATAGAGACACTTGCTTGCTCTTAGAAGGTCGAACTCTCGATCGAGAAGCTCCTCTTCTGTGAGTTTGGAGAAATTGTCTTCTCCAAATGGGTTCCAACCAGACATATCAGGAGGGTTATTGACAGTCTGGGGAGGAGGGCTGATAACATCCATAGTGGACACTGGGTTCCTACAACAACAGAAAAAAGAAAAGAGTTACACGTTAATGAGTCAATATATACACAGCACTTTTCACTTTTGTTGACTTGTTGATTGTATAACAAAGTTTCTGTGTGTGTGTAATCTGCAAATTCTCTCTATTTTTATGCTTTCATATTAAATTCAAAAGTGACGTGACATGTGGCCAAGTATGGTGACCCATACTCAGAATTAGTGCTCTGCATTTACCCATCCAAAGTGCACACACACAGCAGTGAACACACACACACACTGTGAACACGCACCCGGAGCAGCCTTGCTCAAGGGCACCTCAGTCGTGGTATTGAAGGTGGAAGAGAGTGCTGTACATTCACTCCCCCCACTTACAATCCCTGCCGGTACGAGACTCGAACCCCGCAACCTTTGGGTTACGAGTCCGACTCTCTAACCATTAGGCCACGACTTCCCCCAAGTGACAGTAATAGACATTCATAAACGTTACTAAGAATTCTGTTTCAAATAAATGCTGTTCTTTTTCAGAATCATGAAAAAAATGCATCATGGTTTCTACAAAAACATTGACCACAACTGTTTTCAACATTGATCATAATAACATTTGTGAAGGATCATATGACACTGAAGACTGAAGTAATGGCTGAAGTAAAATTCACTTTGCCATCACAGGGATAAATAACATTTTAAAGTATATTAAAATACAAGAGTTACTTTTATTTATTAAGTGTAATATTATTTCACAATATTACTGTTTTATTGATCAAATTAATGCATCCTGGGTGAGCATAATCCATAAAAAAAAAATCATTAATTACCTCAAATACTGTGAAATTCGATGATAGCAGTCAATTTTCACTCAGTGTGACAGGCTGGCTATAGAGATGTACATCAGTAATAATGTTCAAGATGCTTGCCTGATGTTAGCAAAGGGGGTGTCTACTGGAGAAGGTCCGGCAGGGTTATAGGAGCCCAGTGGGATCTGGAACTCCAGAGGGGGCACCTGTTGGACTGGAGCACATTGCTGCTGCTGCTGCTGAACAAAGGCCTGCTGGTACTGATGCATCTGTAAGGAGACAAGCAAATAAACTCAATTTAGTAAACTGTGGCCATATTTCCATAGGCAGGTTTAAACCGTGCCTACTGCGGTGTGCTAATGCTCATCTATCTTCAGATCTTCACTTTGACAACATAATGGTGCTACTTTCATGTCTCTTGTATCACACAGCAGCATCCATTGTGTTGCTAGGCTAAATGTTTGATGCATTATATGATGCAATGGATTTACAATAAACTGCAAGTAACTCGAAACAATATTTCACTTCCATGTCCATTATTATTTGGCGAGCAGCTGTGTAATAAGCAGGATATAATATCCAATACTGCATATTATTAAACCCTTTAGGGAAACACAAGACCTGGTCATCCTGGGTATTTTGTGATAATGACTAAATAGATGGCTGTGCATAATCCCTTACTTAACTTTTGCTTAACACAGAGAAAAGTGTGCTTTTTCTATACAAAATGGCCATGAGGACACAGGGAGATTGAAAGAGACAAAGACAGAAAGCGCGCCACAGAGGCCTTCGAATTTCCCCACAGTGTAATTGCCTCATATGCTATGATTTAACAGAAAATCGGTCGATTTCACCACCCCATTCAATCCCCTGATGGTTTTGCATGGAGCAGATTGCATCTGAAATTAAACAGATGGTAACCATTCGGTGGAAAATGAGCTAAAAATTGCTCCGCCTTAACATTATGTATTTAGCAAAAGTCAGTTAGCAACATTTCCTGTTTTAGTGTAAATACAATTCAAAGGAATTATTAACAGATACGATTGGGCGACATTCACTTGGATGGAGAAACAGTTTGGCACAGAAGACTGCTTCAGTTAGTGGGGCCAAATGAATATTTAAGGCAAAGACATCTAATTTCAGAATTCCAACAAAAATTATTAATTAAATACCATAAACAACATAACCTACTGACATACACATACTGGCTAAATTTACAACTAAAGCAGCACCATCATCCACTCCTTCACAACATTCATTTATAAATCTCTCCTATATTATAACTGCAACTATTTAAAATCTGGCAAACTTCCTCTTTAAAAAGTAAACACATAGCCCTGCCATTAATGTTCCAGGTGTGGTGAGGTGTCTCACCAAGGCAGTGTAGTGAGCCTGCTGTTGCTGCTGGGATTGATATATGGGCTGCTGCATCATCATCTGCTGCTGAAGCATATGCTGTTGCTGCATCTGAAGGCTCTGTTGCATGGCCTGATGATACTGTGAAAAGAGAGAGATGTCAGTGGACAAACTGTTGTAATGAGTGTGGGGGATAAATTTATGCTTCTTAATAGGTTTAGTAACAGCAGATTATACCAGTTTATACCGTGAAGTAAAACAGTGTTTTATACCATCGCATAACAACGTACGTTTAGAATTCAGGGCACCAGACTTGAACTCTAGACAACAAGACATTAAACATGTTGTTTACACAGAAGTTGGTGGTTCTGTCATGAACTGTAGTGTTTTTTTATCACTCTTTGCTAGTGGAATGAGCACTGGCCTGACAGACAGTGACTCAACATCATTTTTTTTTTTTTATTGGCGCACCAAACAAGTAAATCTTTCATCACAGCATTTTGCAGGGAAAAAGAATGTATTGTTTAATTTGATAATTAAAGGGGTAATTCACCACTGACAAGATGGGCTGTTAATAAAACTTGTCTGTCTAGTAAAAATATGAAAAAAAATTCAGAACATTGAAAATCAGTGCTACATGAATAGAGAAAACAGGAAAAGGGCTGTGGTGTTCCCTAAATATTGCTTGTAATTTGAGTTGTCCATTTTTCGAAAATTCTAAATTCATGTGAACAATTCATCCATGCTCATTTTTTCAATTTTTATTAACTCATAATTCTTAATCTAAATGACATAACTTGACGTTCCAGTGAAACAACAGACTTCTCTGTGGTGCCGGACTTCTCCAATAATTTAATCAGCTTAAACTCTGTTGCTTTCTTACTATCAACTGCAAGCTTGCATTCAGATCTGCCATATCTGATCAACAACCAATGGACAGCAAACAAATCCCCACCCTACATTTTTTTTTTCTTTTTAGATAATCTATTTCACTAAATTGTATGTCACAGAAGAAGAGCACTGTACGATTAACCAGAGAACCAGCAGCTGTGCATTAATAGTGAAATTAAAAGCACAGAGCGCCACCTGTGTGTGTGTAGAGCAGAGCTGCAATGCCACCAGACAATACTGGCAAATGAATAATTGTGGATTTACAAATTACATTATAGTATTCTAATATAGTATATTTCTAAATGTAATACCTACAAATTAGTAAGTCACTCCTTAAAACAAAATAAAAAAATAATATAACAATATAATTTATATGATAATATAATATTTATTACATGTTGTTGAAGATTTGTATAGGCACCTAAAAATGCTGAATGTAAACAGTTCGGCCATATTCTAGGTTATTTATTATACTTAATGTAGTCATGTGCTCATCAACAGACGACAATGATCAATCCAAACAAGAACCAACTGACTGTCACAACGGATCATGCTCTAACACACACACAAAACTATTTATGCCACTGGGATTTTCCACAACTACTTAAGTGAGTCATATAAAAATACACTATATGCATCTGCAGCAGATTTAATAAACCCTTGAAACTGCACTTTTGCCTAAATACAGTAATTTTTAAAGACCTGTAATAAATTAGTTTAAACTTAAGGTCCAAAAGACCTGAAAGCTGCTTCACATTGGTCTAGACCTCCTGAGCCACTAATTACCTGTTGCAGGTACTGTAGCTGCTGTGCAGTGACTTGCTGTTGATGGTGTATATTGTGCTGCTGCTGCTGTTGTTGTTGTTGATGATGTAGCTGTTGCAGTCGAAGGTCTCCAGGCTGCAGCTGCTGTAACACCCGGTTCTGTTGACTGCTGCTTGGCATCTGTGCAGCTGACTGCTGCCCGTTTCCAGAAGCTAAGATAAACACACATATACAGTCAAAGCTACTGTCTCCAAATGGGGGGAAAAAAAGAACACAGACCCTATTTGAGACCCCGGACCACAAAACCAGTCATAATAGTGATTTTTTTTTTAAATTGAGGTTTATACATCATCTGAAAGCTGAATAAATAAGTTTTCCATTGATGTACGATAGGACAATATTTGGCCGAGATACAACTATTTGAAAATCTGGAATCTGAGTGTGCAAAAATAAAAAAATTAAAACGGAGAAAATCGCCTTTAAAGTTGTCCAAATGAAGTTTTAGCAATGCATATTTACTAATCAAAAATGAAGTTTTGATATATTTACGGTAGGAAATGTACAAAATATCTTCATGGAACATGATCTTTACTTAATATCCTAATGATTTTTGGCATAAAAGAAAAATCGATCATTTTGACCCATAAAATGTTTTTTTGGCTATTGCTAAGGATACGTTCACACTTGTCATGTTTGGTTCGATTAAAACGAACCCTGGTGCGATTGCTCTGTTTGTGCGGTTCATTTGAGCATGTGTGAACGCTGCTATCCAAACCCTGGTGCGCACCAAACAAGCGGGGGTCTCGGTCCACTTCCAAACAAACTCTGGTGCGGTTCGAATGATATATGAACGCAACACGGATCAAATACTTCTAAAAGAACCAAAAACAGAAAGTAATGACAAGATGCGACGCTATGCGACATGATTTGATGACGCGGTGTAACCAAAACAAAAGAAGAAGAGGGCAAACGTGGAGCAACGATGAGGTAAAGTGCCTTTTATGAGCTCCTTGTGAGTTTGCAGGTGGTGAAAATTTTATTTTATGTACACGCAAGAATGAGTGCACTTAGTCCAGCAGATGGCATTAGGTGTTTTCGACTTAAAGCAGCGCTGAGCAGACCATGTGATATATACGTCATTCAAGCCGACCAATCAGGTTGTGAACTTATCACTATGCCTTTAGGTTCAGTGTCTTTAGGTTCGCTGTCAAAAATGCCAATGTGAACGCTAAGCGGACCAGGACCAAATGTATAATTTTCCTTTTTGGTCCGGACCAAAAGACCCAAACGAACCGAACTACAAGTGTGAACACACCCTTAAAATATATCCAAGCGACTTAAGACTGGGTTTGTGGTCCAGGGTCACATTTAAGAAAACGTGGATTATATTGCTCACCTTTCTGGCCGTTGCTATCCGTACCCGAGGATCCAGTCATTTTCACAGGAGTTACAGAGCTGGACAAAGGTAAAACATTACTATTTGCAGCTTTGGGTCTTTGCCTGGGTGCGATTGATGTTTCTGTTGGTCCAATTGAATCTGTTATTCTAATGATAAAAGAAATAAGGTGAAAACAGGCTACTTAAATGGTTAGTTGGATTCAAACAACATGAACATCACACACAAAGCTCTAAAATGTTACCTGGCTTTTGTCAGGCTCTTTTTAGCAGCAATATCACTAGCAGTAAGGGGCTCTGGCAACGAGGTGGGAAGGGGAGAGTTCTGTGTGGCAAAATTCAAACACTCGTTAATTATTCATAATTCTGAATCATATGAAACTTTAAATTCAATTAAATTATGTGAGGTAACTTACAAAGAGATTTGGCACTGGACACTCCTTTCCAGCTAACCGAAAGGCAAAGTAAGAAACTTGATAGATGTCAGGTCTCTTTTCTTGATCAGGCTCCAACATGTATCCTGTGACAAAGAAAAAAAAAAACAGTTATCAGATGAGTTAAGGGTGTTCAACCTGAGTGTGCTTTTAGGAGAAGCTCACCCCCCCCAAAAAAAATCAAGTCATTCATATCAAATAGAAAACATTGCACAAATCACTTTTAATACATGCCAATTGTGCAGTACCGCTATACAACCAGAGGGTAGAGCTATTGTCTAACTTAATATCAAAACTCCAACACAGCCCTTGTGTACACACTCATATTACACAATCTTCCAATAATTCCAAATCTCTTGTGAATATCTGAAAGCTGCTTACTGACTAAACCGTGCAACCTGGAGGAGAATTTTGAACTGTCCGGAACAGCAAAGGTTCCGTCACATATGGCAACTTGACTCTCCCCAAATGGAAGTGTGAAGAAACACAGCTTGTACAACAAGCATCCAAGTGCCTGGGAAAGAGAGAGAAAAAAAGAAACTAATTCCACACAAAAACATTCAACACATCAGGATTCATTGCTCTAATAAGCAAATACTGCACTGACCATGACAACGCTTATAAAGGCTGACAGCAGCAGTTGCATAAGATGAATTCTGAGAATTCTTTCTATTTTCAGATGGAGCAAATGGGCAGGAAGTATTGTCTTACATTTCCTCGTCCTACCCAAGCAAGTTCTGACACGCTGACCATGAACTTCAACCATTTGCACTGGTGAAATTTATCACAATGAGACCTTTCCAATGAAGGACTATCATGGAACTGTGGGTGGACAGTTTCTTTTCTGTACAGCATTTGTTTGGAAGAAAGAGCTGTGAAATGAGGCTAAGCGACCTTTTCACAGCATGATAAAGTTAAAGAGGAAGTTTGCCTTCATGAGGCCCTCATTTCTGTCTTTACAACACTGACAGAAATCAGGAAGTTCTTTTCTTTAATGCTTTCCATCAGGCCCACATGCACATAACACTGCTCCCCAACTCTAGTAAACATGTCTGAAATGTGACTGATTGCATCTTGTTACAGTATAACTTAAAAAACAAAATCTACTATTTTCTACACCACGCACCCTGATGCATGCCTCGATTTTTCATGACACAAAGCAAAATATCAATAAAAGCATCAACTTTGAAACAAAGCCCGGATTTCAAGGATGGCTGTAAAGCACACCCCCAAGAGCCCTCATTTATGGAGGAAACCGGTTTTGCATCTGTGTCTGCTGTGCCAGTCTGACCAAACCAGCTCTCCAGCTTGTGTAATGTGCTGGAGAATAGAGGGACATAAAAGAGAATGAGTGGGTGGAGATGAGGAAGAGAGAGACTGGGGAGAATGTGTGTCTGTGTGTTTGTATGTTTGTGTTCAGTGCCTACCCAGATATCAGCCTTTGTGGTGATGGCTTTCCCTTGGTACAAGTTAATCATCTCTGGGGCACGGTATGACAGAGTCGTGTACCTGGCAGAGAAGAATGAAAATAATCTAAGGTTTTAAAGACTTAACTTTCTGGCACCAGAACTAGTAATAAGAAATTACATAATCTAGACAAGCTTAAAACATTTAGTAAATTCCTCAAGATTACATGCACAAAAAGTACATTTGAAGCACCAATGAGCTTCGCAAAACACAGCAAATCCACCCACTGCTCTGGGGCAACACCCATTTTCTGTTATTTTGTCCACTACAATATGAACAAGTGTGACACTCTCTAGAACTGCAATGCATAGCATTCTATCACAAACACAAACACACACACACACACACTACTAAGTCTGGATCAGGAATTGTTTTTTGAAAGAATTTAATACGGTTTAGCAAGGACACATTAAATTGGTTAAAAGTGACAGTAAAGACATTTCCAATGTTAAAATTTTTTTTTTTTTTTTATAAATGCTGTTCTTTTAAACGCTGTATTTATTAAAGAATCTAGAAAAAAGTATCACGGTTTTCATGAAAATATTAAGCAGTACTAACTATTTCAACATTGATAAGAAATGTTTATTGAGCACCAAATCAGCACATTAGAATGATTTCTTAAGGATCATGTGACACTGAAGAATGGAAATTAAACTTAGCCATCACAGGAATAAATTACTTTTGAAATTATATTAAATGTATTAAGTAATCCAGAGAGAGATGTAATAGTAAGTAGTAAAAGTGCTTGACATTTTCCCAAACTATACAATCAGTGTAGGTAAAACACACAAACACACACAACACAAAAATTCTACAAAAAAAAATAAATTCCCACTGTATTACAGAACTCCACGCTGTTCTGTAGAAATTCTTACTTCTTGATCTCATCCTCCACCACTGCTATTCCATCTTTATGTGGAAGCAGAACTTTATGTGTGGCACTTCCAAAGTCACACAAGACGTAGTTTCCCTGGTCATTTAGGAGGATGTTTTCTACCTGTCAAAACACACACACAAGTTGGTGATCTCTGTTAATAGGTACAACCACTATAATTTCCAACAGTCAAGTGACAGAGGCAGGAGAGGAAGAAGGAAATTTAATGAAGTACTTTATATAAACATATTATACAATTATTATATTATACACAGGCATTTTTAAAAGGCACAAACTTGATATTTACACCACTCAAATGTTTACATTAAAAGACAGTCTGCACTCTTTATAAGTGACAATGTGTAAAATACATCAATTGCTTTTAGACTTTTAAATGTCACAAATGTAACCCATGGGATTAAATGGGTTAATGCATAAATACACAAAAAGAGGAAGTAAACCGGTAGCAACTAGTCAATTTGGAATATCTCTTGAGTAAGAATTTACAGAACATACATGCTTCTTGAAGTGAAGACGACAATAATGAGATCCTGCACATTATATTTGTGTCAACATGGTTATACTGCAAAAGAATATTCAAACAAAATTTTCCACAAAAATCGTATGTCTTCAGAAGACTTGAACTGACTATTACAGTACATTAACAATTTTTTTGGTTCTTTACAACCAGTGGGTCCTCATCACCTCATCAACAACCCTGCATGTGGAAATCCCTCTATGACAAATGAGTAAACACATTTCTTCCACTTCAGTGTTCAATAATTTCCCAATTATTTTAGACTGTGGCTGGTTTTGACTTGTGGGAAAAAGTGTTCGTTTGAATGGCATCACTGGCCTGTTCCCACACTTTTCTGCCAAAAGGGCGGCCTTGCTTCTTTCAAGCACTGCTGTTTTTCACAGACACTGCATTGCATGCCTGTCTTTGCCTGTGTTGCGCTAATGCTTTCCATTAATAATGTTTGTGAGCAGAGTAATTCGTTTGGGAGATCATGTCTAGTATCACTGTGTTGAGCTGGAACGCTCAGCACATGGTTCCCTAAACTGACAAGGAGTGTCCTCAATTTACCCCTTTCAGCTAGGCAAATACAGTCAGACAAAAGAAAATGAGTGATCAGCCAGAGTGCTTTATACTTGCTCTCCAAAATGTATAAAATCCCACAGACGAAAACGCCAGACATGTCTGTACTTGTGCCTACAACTTCACACCTTTAAGTGAACCATTTAAATGGTTGGGAATGAACTGCATTTGCATTATATTGCTTAGAAATATCTTGTAGTTGTCTTGCTAAAGCATTTTCTGTACTGTACCTTTAGGTCTCTGTGAATGATTGAAGTTTTACACTGGTGGAGTCTAGCAACAGCTTCACATGCGTCACAGAATATGTTGAGCACCTCCGCTTCTGTGAATCCTATATGCAGCCGTTGATTCATCTGCTTCACCACCTGACCAGCTAGATGGCAACACATTAATTCAGTCAACAAAAAAAAAACAAGATCAGATTAGGGATATCATATGAGATTGGAGGGAAAAGGAAAACCAAGGGTTTATGATAATCCATTTAATCCAGTTTAATTGTTTAATGTTACTTTAGTGTTATTTATATACTAGTATACATTTATTATTATTTTGAATAAGCTTCAAAATGTATTAATATTTTGAATGAGCAATAAAGCTTACAAAAAAAAAAAGTTGATATTTTTAGTTTTTTGAACAATAGCAACAGATTGATCAGTTGGCTGCAGAAACCAGAAAAATGTCAAGGCCTCAATGCAATGTACTAGTAAAACTTCAAACCGAGTACTGGCTCTTAATCAGAAATACTGTAAATTCAGGATGTTCGGTTCTGTTAACAGTTCTTTAAAACACTTGCCTCTACAAAGGTATGTGAAAATCAGAGTAAACAAGTTTAAACATTTATTTGATCATGTTTAAAGTTGCACTGTTCAAGTTGTTCCCTTTGTCAAAGTACTTCACTTTAAGATTATAATTAAAGTCACAAATGTTTTTACAGTCAGAGGAACGTTCTGTGATGCAAGTATGAGCTTGTATTTTAAATCACAGAGATTGTTTAGAGTGCAAAATGCTTAGAACACAGTTTCGTTCAAAGCTGTTTTACCTTTGCAATACTCCATCAGAATCAGAACCTCCCATACACTGTCTCCAACTGCATTGGTGGTTGAGTCCAGATACCGCACAATGTTCTTGTGGCCCGACAACTCTTTCTAGGGGGGACATAAAAAAAGATTTTATAAACGTGATGTACTGATGTACTCACCCAAAAAACACCCCCCAGCTTGACTCGCCATGATTGTGATCTCCCGCTTGAAGATGTTCAGGTCGTGGACATTGTTCACATACATCCTTTTCAGGGCACATCGTACTCCACTGTGTGTGCGGGCCAGAAACACCATGGAGAAACCTCCTGGATACACAAACACACAAATACAGAAGGTTAGTTCAGATGTTTATCAGGTCAGTGATCACCATACAGTTGTACACACAAATAAATACACACATTTGAGGTTCCCAACAAAGTAATTCAAAGAGGAATTTCAGGAGGGTTCTGACATTAAATAAAAGTGTACTAAAAAAAATAACGTAAACAATAAAAATAACACTTTGTGCTGATATGATAATTATTTATTATAAAGGTTGCAACATTGCTTTATTACTCTCAATTGTATTTCTTTCTTTTATATATAAAACAAAATATGAACATGTTTCATGTTTGGGTTTACTGAAATCTCTATAAAGGGTGGGGATTTGGAGAGATGGTGATGAAAAGCAAAATGGCTGATATCACTGGCAGCAACTGCATTACCATTTTAACAGAGCGAGTTGTGGATAGCACTGTGCACCATAAATGAGAGTTGGAAATGAACAATTTAAAACTCATTACTACTGCCCACGTCTCATTTTTGACGAACATGGAAGTCACCTTTTGTAATGGAGTTCTTTCATTCTGCTTTAGTTTTCTTTTTCTCTCATCTAAAACTGGAAGTGCTCCTGGCTGAATGAGCAGACAGAATTGAAAGGACAGAAGAGGCTCAACTTTGTATCAACCCGAGATGAGTTCAGGGATCTTCCGTGTGACCTTCTGTGACTCTTGCTCATGTTTAACGCAGGTATGAGATAAACAGCTCAAAATGTCCTTCCAGTATGGCTCAATACATGGAATGCATTTCAGGAGGGAAGTATGATGGAAAAGAGGCAGTTTTAAGCCAAGTTAGGGATTGGCTCACTGTTGGCAGTCGCCTGTGTACAAAGTTACTTTTAGGAGAAAGACAACCTTATAAGGTTAGTTCACCTAAAAATGAAATTCTGACATATTTACTCAATATTGTTCCACACACATATGACTGGCTTTATTCTGTGTAACATAAAAGATGACAGTGTTTTTATTTCCCATAATAGGGTTGTCAAGCTCCAAAAATAAAGGAGAGAAAAAAAATGCATCTTAAAACCTCCATAAAAGTAGTTCACACAACTTGTGTGCTAAATTCTAACTCCTCTGAAGCCATACACCAGAAATTAACGGGGGCTAGTAGTAGAGGTGGGAACCACCAGAAGCCTCACGATACGATATTATCACGATACTTGTGTCACGATACAATATTATTGCGATTTTAATATATTGCGATATATGGCAATTTATTACATTTTTCCAACTTCAAATTATGTCCCCAAAAGAAAACTTTGACAACATCCGTTTTAACTAAAAATAAACATTTCTCAGTTTGTTTATTTCTCTTCCGTTTTTTTGTTTCAGTGAAAAATGGGATTGTCAAGCAGACAAACTGACCAACACTTTCATGAAAACCTGTCATAAACGCTGTATGCACCTGGCAAACTCAACTATTTGTATTAGTCTAGTCTAGTCCACCTTAATTAAATGTAAACAGGTATGCACTGCTGTGCTACTACAGGTATTTTGAACAGTGCAACTTGAAATTGAACTAAAGTTGTGCAGACCCTTCAGCAATTGGGGCATTTGAAAGTAAATTACTGTTAAATTTAAATTACATTAAATAAAACATGTAGTCTTACATCTAGGGATGCACCGAAATGTAAATTCTGGGCCGAAACAGAAACCGAAAATTCTGGATGCACTTGGCCGAAAACCGAAACTGCTTTGAAATGATTATTATTTTATTAAATAATATAACGTAATTTTGTAAGACTTTTTAAATTTAACTAAATTTTAATGATACTGAATTTAAAAAAAAACCAAGCCAATAAAATAACCACACTTTTACTGAAAGTAATACAATAAAACTGGACAGAATTTATATTAATATTGGTAACACTTTACAATAAGGTTCATTAGTTAACTACTTTAATGAACTAAGAATGAAAAATAGTTCTTCAGCATTTTTTTGACTAATTATCCAAATAATGTATAGTCCTACAAAGTTATTATTATCAGAGCATATGAGCAGAGCATAGCGTCACTGAAGGTAGCATTATTTTACCAGCGTTGCCCAGTACAGCTGAACTAGCCTACACCATGTTACAGCACAGTAGCGCTACTGCAAACTAGGGCTGTAAAAAAAATTTTTTTTTTAAATTTCCAATTTCGAATATTCGTCGATTTTAAAATACAAATCCACATTTGAATGCAAAAACATTGCATTCGAATTTTAGCTGTGCGTTGAGGCAACCTTATCAGTGGTACACGAGATGCGATGAGGATGTTAGTGTCATTCCATTTTAATGTTTTTGTTAACCTATCCAGTTGAAGCCACTAGATGCGGCGCTGCTGCACTGTTAATTACAAATATTGTAGGAAAAGAGAACATCAAAGCAGAGAAGATCTCGTTTACGTCAAAACTGAAACCAATCCATTCACACAGATCGCATATTTCGCGCATTTTCTAGAGGGACATCCATCACGGTTGCACTCGCGTCTCACACAAAAGAGCCGCATGTTTTTTCAGACAGAGGGTTTTTTTCCCATCCCACTGCAACTCGTGTTTTTAAATGAAAAAAATGTCGCTTCGTCATGCCTGGAGCTGATCCGTGCTGGTCGCTGAGGAAATACTTCAACTTCGCGCTGTGGATCGCCGGATCGGCTTTCACCGTGGACGAAGCGGAGTCCAGCCCGGGGTCGTCACATGTGGTTGCCGCAGGCATCACAGTATGGTAACAGACGTAACATTTCCGTCACACGCTTGAGGTATTCGGCCAATCACAACGCACTGGATAGCTGGCCAATCAGAGCACACCTCGCTTTTTCAGAACGATGAGCTTTGTAAAAATCGACGCGTTTCAGAAAGCATAGAGGAGAAACAATGTACAGTATGTGGAAAATAATGTGTTTTTTTAACCTTAGACCGCATAAACATTTCATTACACCAAATACACAAAATAAAGTTCTTTTTAGCAGCATCATATGACCCCTTTAAGGCATGAGAAAATTATTTTCACAAGAAAAAAAACATTTAAATATGTCATTTTGATGATCAAAGATCATCAGATCAAAGAAGTTTTAAGGGATAAAATATTTGACTACGGGGGACTTTAAATGCAAGTATTTGACATTAAAGACAACGCAGATACAATTACTAAGGCGGTGATTTACCTCAATTTTAAAAATGCCCCTCGAAATCAATTCCAGGGGGCAAAAATTGCCCCTTAATGGAAAGTTCATTTCTGACCCTGCCATACACTATCTTTGTTTGAGGAGAAGACAGTCAAGTTCAAGTAAAGGTCACAGAAATACTAAAAAGGCTATAAAAGGAACATGGAAGACATTTAAAACGTAAAAAATGCCCCTCATTAAAAGTAATAAGTGCAATAAGTTAAAAAGCCCAACATAATATCTAGCCACCTGGCTTAAGCTCTGTGCTTCAGCAAAATTCAATGCATGTGAGTATTGACTGCCTACACAGTGGCGAGGAACTCTGAAACAACATGCAGCGAAGGACGACGCCATGCCTCCGCAACACTTCTCCCATCAGTTCCAGGGTGAATGAATCCTGGCAACGTATGACTGGCAAGCCTTTTCTCATTAACAGCATGCTGAGTCACGGAGCGGTCCACAGGCCTGACACAAAGGAGGACCCACAATGCTGCACTTGTTGCCTAACAAAATGTATTCGTATGGAGACCAACTAATCGGGACCTTGAAGAGGTGGAGAAAAACAGTGTTGCAGAGAAAACCCAACAAAAAAATTTGGAGTATGCTTAAAGACTTCAGATTGAAGTTAGCATAAAATGGAAATTCACCTTAACTATTTTGTAAATACAACTATGCATTTTATTGATTTTATTGTAAAATATTCATCCCTGCATGTTTTTTTTTTGACCTTGTCATTTTATCAAAACATCATTAGCTTAATCTTTCAAAATGGTAGACGTCTCTCTAGTGACGTTAAAGACTATAGAATACCCAAGACGTGTCACTCATATAGTTTTGATTGTGGAAAATTGCAACGCTCAATATGGCCGCTCTATTGAACGAAGCCCCACCTTCTGAGTAAAAGAGCCAATCGCTAATTGGTAATCGCGTCACTGCAGCTGCTGTTAGAAGTCCCGGTTGCTATAGAAACAGTCAGCATTCTGAGACACGCTTAGGACTGCGCATGCGCAGGTCTAGCCTGAAAAATAAGCTTTTTTTAATGCTATTTGAGCAAAGGAAACGACATTTATGAGACAGTTGTCAGATTTCATTGGTGTTTTCAAATATGAAATTCAATCGTAAGTTTGGTGAACAGTTTTGGAGAATTTGATGTTTCCCCATTCAAAGAGATAACACTTGCATGCCTGAGAGGTGTTTCAAAGATGGTCGCCGAGTGAAATGACTTGCCTTCAAGGGACTTTGGTGACGTATGCCGGACTTCTCAAATTGTTTAGTCTACTCAACTACGAGCTAGCATTCAGATCTTCAGATTCAGATCTAATCAACAATCAATGGATAAAACCAAGTCCCCACCCTAAATTTGTATCTTTTTCAATAATCTGTTGCACTTGGATATAGGCCTACACTACCGTTCAAAAGTTTGGGATCATTAAGATTTTTATTTTTTTTAATTGTTTTTAAGAAGTCTCTTACGCTCATCAAGGCTGCATTTATTTGATCAAAAATACAGTAAAAACTGCAATATTGAGTACCCCACCTTTACTTCCACTACATGGCTTTGAGTGAAATCTCTCATTCTTCAATTTAAAAATGACATGAGGTCATCTCAGGCTACATGAATGTGAAGGAAGAGCTTAAACTAGTGACTGCCTATTAACAATGAGCTGCACATATATTGTGACACCCCAAAACAGTACCACTAACCATATTCAAGCACAAAGAATAAACAAAGTGCACAGAATAGAGATTTCAGACACAGCTCAGAAAAGTGTGTCAGGGTTCACCCTGTCATTGAGCAAAGGAAACAGATGCATGCTGCTGATGACTAATACAGACAAGGA